GCTGGGACCAGGGACTGGAGAGGTGGTGGCTGCTTGTGTGTGCCCAGGGTGCACAGGGGCCCCTATCACAGACAAAGCCACCTGGTGAGGAGGAGGGGCTCCTTAGGGCAGTCAGATAACCTGGCCAGCTCCGGCTTTCTTGTGACTCTTTATCCGGATTAGAACCTCAGCTTTCCTGGCTGTAAAATGGGGGTGCTCACGGTCTCTGTCAAGCACTGTGAAAGGCTGTGAAAGGCTGAGAGTGGGCGAGGCACCAGAGGGGGCCCTGGGGTTAGGGGCAGGGAGTGGGCAGCTCTGTTTCCTTGTCTTGGGGGCAGCAGGAACCCGATGCATATCTTTGGAGGCAGGAGTGCGGGAGTGGAACGCTGAGCAGAGCCACCCGGCCACAGTTCAGCCCTCCTCTAGGGGGCAGAGGAATGCTATCTGCCCCAACATGGGGAGCAGCCAGGCTGTGCCCCGGTTTGCCAAGGGCTCAGAAAGGCTGCCTCTGTCCTCAGCCACATGCCGCCTGAGCTGACGCCTGGGCTCAGGAGAAAGGAGGGAGGGAGGGAAGGAGAGAGGCGGGCTCAGGATGAGTGCTTCTTGTCCTTCCTTCAGCTGGTTTTACAGATGGGGAACTGAGCCTGGGCAGGTTAACTGTGCCCTCCACGCAGGTCACTGCTAAGAGTCACTATTACAGCTGATATTCGCTGGATGCTTCCTGGGTTCAGGGACTAGGCTGAGCATGTACGGTCATTTGAAAAATGTGTTTTCAAAGCTGGCAAGGTGAGAAGGGAATTTCATTATTTGTGTCTCTGACTCACAGGCTGTGTAGCCTAGGACAGTTATATACCTCTCTGGGCCTATTTGCATATTTATAAAATAAAGGTGGTTGGATTATTAAGATCTGTAATTAACCAATTCACCCCAACAAGCCTGTTGGATAAGCAGAGCAGGAATGATTGTCAGCATTTTGCAGGCGAGGAACCTGAGGGGCTCAATGTCTCATGGTCAGTAAGCAGTGAGCTTGGGTTTCCCCCAGGAGCACAGGTACATGACACACAGGTTACACTTCTGGCTGAAAGGTGCTGCGTTCATGATGTTGGCTAGCCTGAAGGAGTGAAACAGAGTCCCTCTGCCATGAGCTCCCTGGGCCTCAGTGTCCTCATCTGTAATATGGGGGAAGAACTAGAAGGAGTCAAGGTCTCCCTGGAACTCCCCTCTGATTCCACGACTCTTAGTGGCCTCCTGAAGGACTCAGGGAACCAGACTCAGGAGGCCTCTGACACTCTTCAGCCTTAGGTATCAGCTGTGCCTGTGCTTTCCACGGGGAGGGGCCGCTGCGCTCCCCCGACACCCGCTCTCTGTGAGTTGGGCTGCCACGGTCCACTCCCTGCACGCTCTTCTCTGGGTGCAGCTGAACTCACCTTGGCCTGGAGGTTCTCCTTCCAGCTGCCACACGATAGGCCATGGAGCCAGCAGTGCTGCGGGCCAGGTGGGGTCAGGTGGGAAAGAACGTGGGGCAGGTGACAAGCCTTAGAGAAAATTAGTATGTGCTGGGGGTGACAGGGTTGGTACAGTCGGGGACCTTTCTGTACCCTTCCTGGGCCCTGCCTTTTGGGTGCCTTCAGGACAGCGTGGGCAGAGCCTCTGGAAGCTTCCCGTGCTTCCTGGGTCCCCAGCACAAGCTATGCTCGCTCAGACCCTCAACACTACGATTTCTGTAACTGATGGTACTAATGCTTCCATTTATAATGGGGGTTTCTAGACAGGTGTACAAGGAAAAGTGTGGGTCCAAGTCCTGGCTATAATCAGTGGTGTGGCCTGGGCCTCAACTCCTCAAAAGCTCAGCTTCCTCATTTGAAAAATGGGGATAATAACAGTCCTTTTCTCAGAGAATTGATGTGAGAATTAAATGAGGTAATGCATGGAATGCACAGGGCCTTATTTATTTTGTTCACAGCCATCCATCAAGTCATCGCAGAGTTCTCCTCCGCTTCCCCTGGGGTGGAGAGCGCTCACGGCACCCTGAAGGGTTCCTTCCTAAGACAAATCACAATTGAAATTTTAGTTATTTGTATATTTTTGGTTTGATATCGTCTCTCTTATAACTGTCGCTCACTGCTCCAGCCTTGCCCACCCGGGTCTAGCACAGCGCCTGGCACATACGAGAAGCTCATTGCATACCTGTTGAGAGAATGAATGAATCTTCATTTCTAATTCATAGAGGAGGACTGTCACTTAGAGGGACGAAGCATTAGCCCAACCCAATCACTGATAAGAGTCAGGAATGGAAGAGGACCTAGAGATAATTGAGTCAGACAGATGGAGATGCTGGGACCTCACCAGAGAAGGCTGCCAACTTGACCGAGATCACACAGCAAGTGAGGGAGGAAGGCGGGACCACTACCCAGATCTTTTCACTTCCTTTGCCTCTGTCTGCCTAGTCCAGTTCACCAGACGATCCTGTTTCCTGTGTTTCTATGTGTGTGCTTGGGGCGGGGCAGCAGGGGAGCTGTCAGTCTTGAAGGCTAGGAAATCACCACCACATACACTGGGGACAATTTGGGAACAACAACAAGCTTGGTCCCTAAACTGCAAGCTGCCCTTCAGGGGACAAGAGACATACACTGCATCAATCAGACCCTACCCTCAACACCCACCAATGCACACACACGCGCGCACACACACGCGTGTGCACACACACCACTCCATCACTATTGCCAGCGGGTCAACAGGCATCTGTAACTGTACAACTGAAATGGTCCTCTGGAGTTCCCTGAAGTCTGCCTTCAAGAATTATCGGTCCCATTTTACAGATGAAACCATAGATTTAAAATGATTGGTCCGAAGTCAACAGCCAGTTTGTGCTGGCGTCCTGGGTCAGTGTGTCATTTCTGTGAGCCATTTCTGAGCATGGGATTCAAATGTTGGGAAGAGAACCTGACTTACTGAGCTTCTCCATGCAATTGTCACCAGATTAAACCGTTTCACATATACTTTCTCTTCTCTGCACACCTGCCCTGAAGGTCAGCTATCACTATCCTCTCTTCGTTTTCTTGTTGCTATTGTTTTCAGTGTGGAGACAAATAGAGGCTCAGGAAAGCTAAGTCACTTCCTTTTAGTCACACAGCTTCTGTTCTCTCGACAGACATTTAGTTCAATAGACTGAGTGAGCTCTGACAATGTGGCAGGCCCCCTAAGATTCACAGTTGGTGGAGGCAGGCCGGTAAATGGATGGTTCAATACCCTGAACCAGGTGGTAATATAGAGACAAACTCAGGCTGGCGTGGGGGCCCAGAGAAGCACGTTTACCCAGTTATAGAATCAATAAAGGCTTCTTGGAGGAGCTGGCACCCACCATTAGTTCTGAAAGCTGAATAAGGCTTAGATAAGGAAAGAGAAGCGGAAAAGGCGATCCAGAAAGAGAAAGCAGCATGTGCAAAGGCACAGTGATTCAGAAAACAGCAGGTGCCTGCAGGGAACCATTAGCTGGGCGGGGCCAGGTCATTGACGGCCTTCTGTGCCAGGTCCAGGAGTCTGGCTTTTTAAATATGTAATTTACATATAATTTTTTTTAATGGGAAATTACAGAAACACACAAACATAAGCAGAATAGCATTTTAAAAACCCATTTCAACAACTGTGTTTCCTCCATACCCCCACCAATTCTTGCCTCCCCCGATTATTTCAAAGCAAATCCCAGATATATAATTGCATCGGGAATTATTCTCATGTATACCTTTATAACATAAGGACTTCAGAAAATCATCACGGGAGCATTGCTTTTATTTTGTCAATATTGGAGGACGGTATTGAAAGAGTTTAAGTCAAACAGTGCCTTGGCGGGGGGGGGTCTATGGCTGTGGGAGGAGCATGAATTAAGGAGAAGGGGTTAAAGTAGAAGGTGAAGATGTGTTGCTGTCTCCCCCTTGGCCAATCACAGGGCCTGACAGTCTACTATTACCCACTGATCAACAAATTATCTCCTAGAATATATCTCTTCCTGAAAGATGCGATGCCTTAAGCATGTTCCAGTTTGGAGCCTGCAGAAGAGAGAAATCCCCCGCTGCCCCATTTCCTGAGAGGCTTTTTCCATTCCTGAGACTGGCATGTCCCCGTGGAGGGACAGTGAGTGGGCAGCGCGGCTGTCTGTCCCCTGGCTGGGGGCAGGGAGCCCACACTGGAGAATTCTCCAGTCCTCGTTCCCGTTCAGCTCCAGTGCCCACGGCATTGGCCTCGGAGCCAGCTAAGCAGGACTGTACATGCTGGCTGTGGGGTAATATCAGCGTGTGCATGCGTGTTGGCCTGTGTGCGCTCGCATGTCTCGGGTCAGAGCTGCCTGCTGTCTGCCCCTGCAGCATCCCCTGCCCTCTGGGGTCCTCCCACAAATGCAAGGCTACATGGCACAAAATGCATCATTTCAGACACTGAGACGTTTAGCCCTGGGAAGCAGCAGAGCTGAGTATCAGTACGGCACCATGGCTGGCACATGCGCTC